GCTCGAGAGCCGCTCGAGAGCCGCTCGAGAGCCGCTCGAGAGCCGCTCGAGAGCCGCTCGAGAGCCGCTCGAGAGCCGCTCGAGAGCCGCTCGAGAGCCGCTCGAGAGACGCTCGAGAGCCGCTCGAGAGACGCTCGAGAGCCGCTCGAGAGACGCTCGAGAGCCGCTCGAGAGACGCTCGAGAGCCGCTCGAGAGCCGCTCAAGAGAAAGCGGCTTCACGGAGCCCGTACCGAGGCATTGGCCGGCCTCGTAGTTGGATTGAAGCTCGCAGGCCGTGACCTCGCCGTTGAGGATGTCCTCCAGCTGCTTCTCCGTCACTCCTATCGGCTGCAGGGATCGAACAGGGTCAGATGAGGTCAAGTGAGGTCAAGTGAGGCCCCGCGTGCGTGTTTGGAAGCAGACCGAAAAGGGGACGAAGGAGGTGAGACGATGGACGATGTCCGACACGGATCCGACATTGGGCGTCGTTCTCGAGTCCGTGTCGCCCAGGTCGATCTGGTAAGCCTCCGTTGCGCGCTCCAGGAACGTCATCGCGTTCTCTATCTAATGAGCGATTGGTTTTTTTCAACCCGGCCGGTGTGATGTGAAAATTACGTGAAACTACCTGGAGAGGCGTGAGGGAGTTCAACGTGTCGAAAACTTGTTTTGCCTTTGTCATCTCTGGGTTCTGTTCCGCGTATTTCTTCAGAATTTCGAAGTTCCCTTTTCCTTCTCCAAATGTCAAGTCTCCTGCATCTGCTCTAACCTCTTCTGATGTCAGGTTTCCATCTCTCCTTCCACCTGCTCCTGTCAGGTTTACTCCTGTTCTTCCACCTGCTCCTGTCAGGTTTCCATCTGTCCTTCCACCTGCTCCTGTCAGGTTTCCATCTGTCTTCCCACCTGTTCCTGTCAGGTTTTCTCCCTCTCCAGTTATCAAGTCTCCTCCAATGGTTCCTGCTGCTCCGCCAAATAGATCAATAAAGTTTGCGAGGCTGGACCGCTGAACAGATTTCATAGGAGTTCCACAGTTGCCGTTTCGAACCCGGCATTGCGAGGGAAGGCTAATCATACTTTCGCTTTTCACCAGCAGGGAAATTCGAACCGCGGCTCATCATGTTCCTCGCTCCGCTGCGGGTGCATGCGGGTGGAGGTCCATGCGCTGCCTTCCACTGCCTTCCACTGCCTTCCACTGCCATCCACTGCGACGCTTGCAGTGGAGGCACTCGCTGGAGGAGCTTCGCATTCGGTCGCAGCGAGCATTCACCGTCGTGCCTTCGCAGCGGAGTGTGGAAGATGCTGAGCTGCCGAATTTCCCAATGGCAAGCAATCTATCATCTGAGGGTGATTAACCCTCTTCTACAATGTTATGGCCAAGTTCTAGGCGCACGCCTGGAATACAATTCATTTCCTTTTTTTTTTCATTTAAAGGAATTCGAATCAACATTTCTGGATTAACTTCTGGATTAACTTCTGGATTAACTTCTGGATTAACTTCTGGATTAACTTCTGGATTAACTTCTGGATTAACTTCTGGATTAACTTCTGGATTAACTTCTGGATTAACTTC